GAAGCGTATCCCATACTATTTGACTGAGAACGTGTGCATCAGGTGAGATCCCCAGTAGACTCCATCAGTTCCTCGTCTTAGCCAGAAACTGACAGTGTGCCTTAGTTTTAGCAACTTTCGCCAGGTCCAAGAACTACTAAACTGGAGCTTCATCGACCAAAGGTCCCTCTGCTTACACTTATACTCATACATCCAGGCCACCCGGAGAGTACCTGAGTTAAGGAGGAACAACCAAAGCATTCACAGAGTACAAGCCTGATTCCATGCTAAAGATCTTTTACCCCCATACCACCTTCCCTCTTTGGTAGTGCAATTTTTTCCCAAGCTACCTTTGCACGACCTTCATCAGTTCCATGCCATAAAAACTGAGAGCGGAGTTTCTGCACCCGCTTGAGAACCAGTTTGGGCAAGACAAAAAGTTGCATCCAATATTGAACAATCCCCAATAAAACTGAATTAAGCAACTGCAATCTTCCAGCATATGTAAGCTTCTTAGCACGCCATAATCTAATTCTCTTAGTTATTTTGTCAACCAGAATATCCACTTCTTTTGAAGATAGCTTCCCTGTGATTAGGGGCAAACCCAAGTACCTAATTGGCAAAGAACCCTCCTGGAATCCCGAAAGAGACAAGGCAGTGTTCTTAAAATTAATAGACTCCCCTCCAAAATATATTTCACATTTGGAGGGGTTGCATTTAAGCCCAGAGATGCTATAAAACTCTTGCAAAACAGATTTGACTTGAAGAATGGCCTGGGCAGATCCAGAGGTGAAGACAAGGATGTCATCCGCAAAACACAGATGATTCAATCCTATTCTTTTGCACTGAGGATGATAAGGAATTCTACCTGCTTGACTAGCCTGCAACAGTAAAGTGGAGAGACCCTCCATGGCGATAGTAAAAAGGTAAGGAGACAGAGGGTCCCCTGTCTCACACCTTTCCTGGCTCTAAAAAATCCACACAAACTCCCATTCACATTAATACTATAGTGAGCCGTCTGAATACAACACTTAATCCAATTAAGAAATCTTTCTGGAAATCCCATAGCCGCCATCATTAGGAAAAGTATTTCCAATTTACAGAGTCAAAGGCCTTCATAAAATCTATGTTTATAGAACATCTAGATGATAATCCATGCCTATGATAGCCACTGACCAATTCTTGAGCTAAGAGAATGTTATCCATGATACTTCTACCCTTAATGAAAGCTGACTGTGTAGGGTTTATAATCAAAGGCAGAACCTCCCTAATCCTGTTTGATAGAATTTTTGCTATAATCTTATATAGGAGGTTCACATAGGAAATAGGTCTGAAGTTCTTAAGGTGTTCAGCATTAGAGGTCTTAGGTATTAAAGAGACAGCTGTGAATTAATTCCACGGGAAAGATTACCTCTTTGAAAGAAGTCCAACACACCTCTTGTAACATCTGCACCAATAATATGCCAGGTCTTCTTATAGAATCCTGCAGAAAAACCATCTGGCCCAGGGGCCTTTGAGAGTTCATACCAAAAACAACACTTCTGATTTCTTCAGCAGTGATAGGCTGCACCAAGATATCCTTGTCAGCTTCAGGAATTTGCACCCTGACCAGAGTTTCCACCTTTTCTCGGGTAGGGAGAATCTCTGTATTGACTTCCCCTAATAGTTTCTTGTAATAAGAGACCACCTCCTCTACAATCTGCTCTGACTGAGTTAAGGAAACCCCCTCATAATTTACTAGCTTCCTAATTGCCTTTTTGGAATTTCGAATTTTTACTGCTTGGTGGAAGAAACCAGAACTTTTATCCCCTTGATTGAGCCATGAAATGCGTGATTTTTGCCAGCAAAAGCTCCCATAAGCAGCTAATACCAGCTCATACTTTTCCTCCCTCAAACGCACTTCACCAAAATGTTCCACAGAGGGATCTGAATAGGCAAGCACTTGTGCCTGCTTTAGATCATTCTCAGCATCCCTTACCTGGTCTTGAATCTCACCATATACTTCCTTATTAAATATTTTCAAGGCTTTCTTTAATTCATTAAGCTTACCATGAACAACCTGCAAAGGAGATCCACTAAAGTCTTTTTTCCAGGCATTCTCTACTGTTGGCAGGAATAATGGGTGCTCATCCCGAAATTCAAAGTACTTGAACGGCTTAGGCATCGACTTGATTGGTGTTGCTGTGCTTACTTGGATACCACAGTGATCTGAGAAAGGAGCATGAAGAGCTTCCATAGAACAATCCTTAAAATCCTCTACCCATTTCATGTTCACTAGAGCCCTATCCAACCTCTTAGCGATAGGATTATTTTGTTGTCGGTTTGTTCACGTGAACTGAGGCCCCATGGTTCTATAATCCAACAACTCCAGCGTATCTATCCACTCATTAAAGTCTACCATACTAGTAGTGACATTCCTCACATTAGATGTTTCTGCAGGGGCACGAACAGTATTGAAGTCACCCCCAACTATCCATGGACAGTTCCCGACCTGAATTCTCCCTATTTCAATATATGTCTGCTTCCTCTCCGCCTCATCATTTGCAGCATAGACTGCCGTTAAAAAGAACCGCTCATTATTGTATCCTTCAACTACTGAGTGAACAAAATTCTTCCCTGGCTGCAAAACTGTAAGGTTAATGTCTGGATTCCAGAACAACCAAACCCGCCCTAGTTTTGAATCTTTACAACTCAAATATTTCTTCCACCCCTCAAACACTTCCTCCACTAATTCATTAGCTTTATTCGCTTGTATTCTGGTTTCCAGTACCGCTACTATATCTACTTTATTCCTACGCAGAATCTGCAGCAAATCTCGCTGCTTGGAGGTTCTATTGAACCCCCTCACATTCCAAAATAATATAATCATTTGGAAGTAGAGGGCTTACCCCCCCCCTTCTTACCTTCCTTCTTAGAATCCTTCTTCTTTGGAGCATCATACAGCTTGATTGGCTCTTCTTCGAGCTTGCTCAGCACACTAAAAGGAGATGCAGAAACCTGAAATCTCAGAGGGCGCTGTGGCGACTAGACTCGAGGCTTGGCACCATGAACCACTCGTTGAAATTATGTTTCCGAAGGCAAATTAGGAGATGAAGAGCCAGCAACTTCACAAAAAGATTTCTCAAGGTTCTGAGAGAGAACTTGTATAGTAGATGCTTCTCTCTGAGGAGTAGTAAGACTACCTACCATAGCACTTAACTGAGGGTCCTCTTCAAATATCACTATTTCCTTACCCTTATCCCTAACTTCAGCTTCAATCTGAGTAACTTGCCTTTCTTCTTGCTGCTGCTGAGAGGGTGCTGAGCTCTGTTGTTGAGCAAGCTTTGTCACCCACTTCTGATTATGCCCAGCACAATCCCCCTTTGTTCCAAATAAGTGACAGACATGACATATAGGAGGCAGATTACAGTAGACAACCCCAACCCGCAGAGAAGACTCATCATCCAGCCACAATAACACATGATCAGGACATTCACTATCAACGGTTAATTCAATCAAAACCTTAGCATACCCATGACGATCACCCATACACGTAGTATGATCAACTCCCAATGGAACCCCAATCCAACTAGCAATACGACTAAGACCTTGAATATCATTATACTCAAGCGGGACATTAGACAGATTAACCCAAATTGGCAGAGCCTTCCTCCCCAGATCCTCAACACTAATACCTTGAACCCATGGCCTTGGATATAATAGGTTATTGTAGTAAAACCAGGGCCCATTCTCAAGAATCCATTCACATACTTTTTGATTGGGCAACTGAATCAAGAGCATCTTATCATAGAGCAGAGAGACCCTCACCAAACCATCTCGCCTCCAGAGCTTATTCAACCACCGACGAAGAACATAAAGCAAAGTCGGATCCTGAAGGAATTGACCGACAAGGCAGTTTTTCCATCGAGCAGCCCCCGCCTCACGAACCTCTCTGACATACGAAGCCCTCTATTGACGACTTCAGGCGGGATATAGGTCATACGATTTGCCTCAGAGATGCCAAACAACTAGGCCCAGGGTTTTGTTGGAACCCCCCATGCATCATCCTTCGACACCCCGGGCTGGGAATCGCTGCAGTATCACCACTCATCAGAAAAGCAAAAGAGGGGGAAAAGAGCTGCTCCGGCGCATATGCCGGAGCTGGCAGCGAAGGGGGAAGATCGGAAACCTCATTACCAGAATCATGTTTTCACTCTCTACAACAACAATCATATGTTTGAAAATCATATATGGCAAGTTCACTCGTTCATGGACAAGTAGGTGAGTGAGGAGCTCCATATCAAAATAACAATCATGTCAAAAACCGTTTAATTCCAATAACTCGACCGTGGCAAATTTAAGTATTCATATTATACCATTTATTAACGCCCATTATCTACTTCTAGTCTAGTAATTAAAAAGACATAATTGCATGAAAAGAAATAAAACAATAATTTCAAACGGATGGTGAAATTATGTTAAAGCGAGCGGGCCCAGTAACCCGGACCACCCAGCCAGCTGCGTCCTCTTCACATCAATGATCAAACACATCCGCCGCACACTCCCCCGTCTCATCCCCTGTCCTCCAATCTATCTAGGTCCGGAAAACCCTCAACTCCCTCTCCGTCAGATTAATCCACCTCTCTCATCACTACCGTAAACCACCCCATTCCCCACTCGTAAAAGTAGAACTCACCACACCCAATCACTTCTCTCTCCCATCCCAACCACGAAACAAACAAAAAGCACACCGAGCGAGCGATAAGCAGCAACAGAGTACGGCGCTAATTGATGGAGGCAGGCCACAGCTGTCTCCCAATCCGAATTCAATTTACCCTCCTCCCACCATCTTCTCCGCACTTTCCCTTCTTCCTTCCCTCCCTCTCTCTCACTAGAAGCAAGCAAACAAGCAAATCCATTCCTCTGAAACAATGGCAGCTAACAGAAACAACAATGCCAACACCCGTACCCTGTTTCCCCTCCTCCTCCTGCTCACCGGATCTTTCAATTTGATCGCATCGGCGGCGGGCAGCGAGGGACTGATGAGCGCTGCTGCTTCCGAGGAATGGCCCATCGCGATGTCCATCTATGGCGGCGGCGAGGCGGAGCCGGATGGCGATGTGGATTTGGAGGACGGAGTATCGGTCGATTGGGACGGCGAAGGAGAAGGTGGGAGCGGTAGCAAGAGGAGGTCGCTGTTCTGGAGGAGATGGCCTTACTACATCTCGTACGGAGCGCTGCTGGCGAACCGGATCCCGTGCCCGGCGAGATCTGGGAGGTCGTACTACACCAACAATTGCTACAAGGCTCGCACCCCGGTCAACCCTTACTCCCGCGGCTGCTCCAGAATCACCCGCTGCAGGGCATAAAAGCTGGAAAACTTTTGAGTGAGCGAAACAGATTTGAGTGAAATTCCCCAGCCAGTGCCGAGATCTGTTTGTTTGTGTGGTGTATTGTGATTTCTGGCTGGTTATATATGTTTAATGTAATGTAACGATTAATATATTTTTTGTTGTTGTAAGTTGCTGGATTTCTAGTGAATGATTAGAGAAAGCAGGCGATGGAATTCTTTAGATTTTGTGAGGATGGTTTTATTATTATTGTAGTGGTAATGATTAATAATGAGTAACTGATCAGTAAACTGTAGGTCTTGTGATGGATTTGCCAGCACAGCAGGGTGGTTCTGGTTCTGGTTCTGTACTAGTCCTTTCTTATAAAATTAATCACATAGGGTTAGGGATTAGTGCAATATTCTTGAGTTTAGTATTAACTGGGATGCGTCCTCCTAATGCCATCTCATGTATTGCTCAAACACTTGGGACAGGTTTGACTTTGAGACGGCAAGCAACAGGAAGGAAAGTGAGTTATTATAAGATTGAAGAATGCTGTGGATTTTGAAACAGATGGCAAAATGGATGGTGGGTGATGAATTGATGGATGTTGGGATGGCGATTGAATCTGAATTTACGGGTATTCAATTCCATTTAACTCGGTTAAGGTGGATAAAATTGGTGTTGATAGGTTTTGGTGGATTTTATTGCCTTTGAAATTGTTGGATTGGTTGAGTTTGATTTTTCTAAAATTATACCCGCTTTCCATCCGACTAACATTTTAAAAGTAAAACCATGTCATTTTGTATCTAACATGAAGATTATGAATAATTTAAGAATCTTATTAGTTTTTAGGCCAAATACACTTGTATAGCCAAAACTTTGACGTTTGTGCCAAATATAGCCACTTTTGGAGAAATACCAGAAATAGCCAGAAATTTGAAAGTTCGATGACAATTATAGCCATTTCCGTTGCATAGTTTGACGGCATCAGTGACACCGTTAGTCTAATTAACGGAACGATGATGTGGCTGTCAACTCACCTGACACATCATTGACAACTCACCAACACTTGCCACATATACATGACACGTAAGATTTTATTTAAAAATATTTAATTAATTCATCAACAAAAAAAAGTGGATGACAACAAATAAAAAAAATTAATTCTTTTTAGAATACGACTCGTCCCTCTTCTCACTTTTCCCAATCTCTCTCTTAAGTCGGCTACCTCTCCTTCCGACGAGAAAACCTCCCCATTCTCGTCCTCTTAGCCATCCCACACCCACATCTCCCTAATCTTCTCGATCCTTCCTCTGCCTGCCTCGTTGTTCATGGTCTTTCTTCTTTTCCCCAATCCTCAATCTCTTTAGTCTTGAACCTGTTAAAAAATCCCGCAGCCAATAAATCCCTAATTTTTTCTGGATGGGAAAGGGCTCAGTGAAGTAACAGAGGGATTTGAGAGAGTAAAGAAAAGAGTTAAAAGAGAGGAAAAGCAAGAAATATGATTTTGTTATTATTCTCAAGTATATCCACATCAGTAGCTCTCGTACCTCTTTTATACAGGTCATGTCCTAGCAGCTCACGGAGGACGGCGACGAGGTCGGGGGATTTGGGAGTCTGGGTTGTTCGGAGCTGTGGTAAGCACGTTTGAGGAATTGGACGACGTGAAGTTAACAGATCCGAAGGGCAGAGGGGTGAAGGTGTTTCAAGTAGAGAGTCGGCAGCAACGCCCACAAGAAAGACAGGCGGGGGAAGCGGGAGCGGAGGTGGAGGGTGTTTTGTGCGGAAGGCAATGGCGGTGGAGGCGTTCTGGGATAAGTGATTTCCGGCAAATCGATGCGATTTCGGAGCACCGGCGGCGGATTTTAATTGAACCAGAGTTTCATCTGGGGAAGGGATGGAGAAGAAGACAGATGCAGAGAGAAAATAAAGAGATTGGGGAGTCTGAGTGTGGGTAGGTGGAGGGATTGGGGAGTCTGAGTAGGTTTTGGAAGATGATGGCCAATAGAGAATGGGGACGGCGGAGAGGGTAGGTCTAGGGATTGGGAGTCTTTTTATTAAATTGGTTTTCTTTTAATTATTTTTCTTTTAATTAATTTATTTTTTATTTTCATTAATTTTTTATTAATTAATTTTTTATTAATCTACGTGGCATGGTTGGTGATGAAACGTCGCCAAATCAGCATTTCTGTTAGTCCAGTCAGCTTGTTAGATGACACCGTTAAAGTATTGGATGGAAGTGGCTATAAGTGGTATTTCTTCAAATTTGGCTATTATTGGCAAAAGCGCGAAAGTTTTGGCTATACAAGTGTATTTTGCCTAGTTTTTATGACAATATAAACTTAATAATATTGATAATTTATAGATGTTAGAAGTTTTTGTGGAGATGTATTTCTAGGAATAATTCCAATAACATTAAGAAGTGGATGTTATAAGAAATAATGTATTGTTATGTTCGTGGACTCATGGATATCCATACACTCATGTCTCATGGTTACTTCTATGATTTATTTTTTCATTTCTAAAATCCAATGAATTTTTTACAGGTTTTTTTAATGGGTGCAATTGTTGGGTTATGTTTGGATTTGTAGAGAAACCCGAACCAACCACATCCATTGCATTCCCGAATGTTGTTAATTTTTGACAGATTATGCATTCTGATATTGTTAATAGGGGTGGCTATATGTACCGGTCCGGTTAAATTGGTCGAATTGATCCGGTCTCATTTCGGTCTTTTCGATAATATAAGGACTAAAGATTTATTTGGATACAATCCGGTCTTGATCCGGTCCGGTCCCAATTCGATCTTGATTTTAGATTGAGCTTGTGGGGATTTGAGTGGCGCGAGGCCTGAAAGGGTGAGGAGTTGGTTAAATTTTGGGTGTTGGGCTCTCTTATTCGGTTTTCGGTCCGGTCCCGAACGATTTTTTACCTCAAATCAAAACTCGAAAATGGGATTAGATTGTTTGCTATCTAGTCCCGGTCCAGTCTCGATTCAGATTATACTGTTCGATTTCGAGTAAAATCAAAAAGTCTGAACCAAATAGCCCGCCCTAATAGTAATGTCATCGATCCAACAGACAAAAATTCAAAATGAGTTCTCCATCATATTTTCCGCAGCATCCTATGATTTACTTTTTCTGCATAGATGGTAAATCTAATAGGGAATCCTCCCTTATGGGAATTTAGGATGATGAAAAAATGAGAGTTTGACGGTTCTTATTTGGGTAAATAATATGGGTCGAGGATGGACTAGGGGCCAACTTGATAGCTACAATAGTGGGTGGCCGCTTTAACTTTGCCATCGTCTAGCTAGCTGCCTTGTTTTGGACTATTAGCAACGAGTTATCAATTATTGAACAAGGTCCCCCGGCGGATTGCAACAACTACTACCACTTTTTCAACCATAGATCCGGGAACCCAGTTAATCGATTGTGGCCTCCTTCCTCCATGTGCTCTCTTGAGTCTCTTCCTACTTCCCATCTCCTTTTAAACCGAAATCAAACCAATAAAGGGTCAATCAATGTATAGTTGAATTGAACGGACCTATTACTCTGTTTCCGTTCATACAAGTAGCTGAAAATTTGAGCTCCTGCCAACAAAGAGTGGGTGTCACGACTGTTTCTTTACGGATTGGGAAATTGGAGGACTCGATAATGCAAGAAAAGCGAAAGCACACATACAACACACGATTTATGTGGTTCACTAATACAAATGTGTGTTAGCTAGTCCACGGGCAGGAGAGAGCCAATTTCACTATGATTCGAGTAGATACAGATTACAGAGGAGTATGCGAAGTATTTATAGTAGCGGCTCATCGTCCGATTCAAGTCACATCAACAAAGGCTTACCTAGTTAAACCTCTTGAGACAAAGTTGGGTTGAGAAGAATCAGGTAACTTGGCCAAGTTCCATTGTTGTGGTCTCAAGAAGAAAAACTACATCCAAAAGTTGCCTTGATCTTTTGGGGGCGCAACCCGGATGCTAGCTAGTTGGGGCGTAACCAACTGATCTCAATATTTCGAGTTGTCGAGAGTGATATATGTATGATACTTAACCACTTCCTTACAATTTGTTATTTCAATTTTTCTTCCACAATGAACCGATCTCATGATATGATAAGCAGGCGAGAACAAAAACTGAAGGAAGAAAGAATGGGTTTGATTGACTAGAACCGAGAATTGATTTTCGCTTCTATTTTTCAACAAGAACTTTTGTTACCAATGTCATAAACCAGTTGGTTCCAATAACTCGAGTTGTTGGGAGAGGTTCAATCGTGGATCATATACCACAACACAAACACGCCCCCTCAAACGAAAGCCACTCACAAGGGCTTGAAATTTGCACAGGTCTGAAGACAAGAATACCATGTGCTTAACAAATGGGGGTCATCGGGAATCGAACACAAGACCTCTCGGTTACAGAAGGCTCTGATACCATGTCATAAACCATTTGATCTCAATAACTAGAGTTGTTGGGAGAGGTTCAATCGTGGATCATATACCACAACACTAACGGCCAACAGATCACTAACAAAGAGGAGAATATCAAGATGCATCACTAATGTGAATTCAAACAAGTAACGAAATCATACGCCTACAAAATGCAGGGCGACAAACAAAGGGCAATGACGTGCCGCACAATAAGCCGTCCTATTCCCATTTCTTCCCATGAACCTAATCTTAAACTAAGATTGGCATTCTAGCATACCACATATTTCTTTCAAAAGTGCCCTCCATATGTCGAGTTGGAATCCCCAGAGTTCCGCTTATCAATGGTCGATTTAGCATCTCGACAAAGGATGACCAATGAGATCCCTGATGTCATTCTGTAGTGCTAAGGCTTCTATTGCTATTGCACAAGTGATGTAGGGATACTTAGCCCTGGTTTCCAATAGTACATTCCCTCCCAGATCCATCACCATGCACCCAGTTGCTCCGAGTGAATCTCGTCGTACAACACCATCAAAAGAAACACTGAACATAACCTGTGAATATTTGTAATGCTTGGAGAAAACCTTCTCTGTACTGGAGCGAGAAAGGTATAACGCCAACTAGGGTTTTGGGAAATTGGCTCAATGGCCTTTCCATTTAGCAACAACAACTATATATAGTCTGTACAAAAGCAGCAAAGAAAGAATGAAAAACTAACTATTTGCTAATCGACTCTGTAACTCTGCTAATCAGATCACTAACATTTACAAATGAACCAATGAATCAATGACACGTATGTAAGCACTGTACATTAGCCGTTCCATTTAATTTATATCAAAACGCATCGTGGAAGGCTTCTCTCCTTAGAAAAGTCATCGTTTGGTATTGTGTGCAGCGTTGCAGAGGAAAGCAGAGATGTCATCTCTTCTTCTTCACACACCCCTTCAAGTTGGCGTGTACAGATCCAATACACCCAACTTGGACAGCAGAAATCGAAACCTCTCTGCAGACAACCCTTTCATGAAAATGTCTGCTGGCTGGTAATCAGTAAAAATGTGCTGCAATGTAATTAGCCCAGCTTTTAGTCTTTCACGAGTGATGTGCAGGTATATAAATAACAGACTAATTGTCACAAAAAAGTGGAATGGGTTGAGGGTGTGGCACCTGGAAGAATTCCATCAAGCATTTCATCCACCGAACTTCACAGCAGAGCTGTGCCAGTGCTCTATACTCCGCCTCCGAGGATGACCTCGAGACAATAGTTTGTTTCTTGCTTTTCCATGTAATGAGAGAATCACCCAGAAAGGTGCAGTAGCCAGTAACTGACCTTCTGATATCAGGACAGGTTGCGCAGTCAGAGTCGCTGTAACTTCTGATTGTAAGATCTGATTTAGCAGAGAACCATAAACATTGTCCTGGACAACCTTTGAGGTATCTAAGAACCCTGTGCATTGCTTGAAGATGGGTGCTGGTAGGATTACCTTGGAATTGGGACAATTGTTGAACTATATCAGGTCTTGTAGTGGTGAGGTATTGCAGATGACCCAGTAAATGCCTGTACAACTAACCATCCTCAAGAGGCACTCCATCTTCTGCTAATAATACACTCTTCATGCTCAAGAGAGTTTTAGTATGTTTACTATTCAGGAAACTAGCATTTGCTAGCATTTCTAAGCAGAATTTCCTCTGGTTCAGAGAAATTCCTTTCTTGCTTCTTTGTATTTCCAACCCAAGAAAGTACTTAAGTTCACCAAGGTCCTTTACCTTGAATACTCCACGCAACCATCCCTTAACTTTATCAATCAAGTTCAAATTGCTACTAGCCAGAATCATATCATCCACGTAAATCACTAAAATCAAGTGATGACCATCCTCAGTATAACTTGAAGATGGGTGCTGGTAGGATTACCTTGGAATTGGGACAATTGTTGAACTATATCAGGTCTTGTAGTGGTGAGGTATTGCAGCTGACCCAGTAAATACCTGTACAACTCACCATCCTCAAGAGGCACTCCATCTTCTGCTAATAATACACTCTTCATGCTCAAGAGAGTTTTGGTATGTTTACTATTAAGGAAACTAGCATATGCTAGCATTTCTAAGCAGAACTTCCTCTGGTTCAGAGAAATTCCTTCCTTGCTTCTTTGTATTTCCAACCCCAGAAAGTACTTAAGTTCACCAAGGTCATTTACCTTGAATACTCCACGCAACCATCCCTTAACTTTATCAATCAAGTTCAAATTGCTACTAGCCAGAATCATATCATCCACGTAAATCACTAAAATCAAGTGATGACCATCCTCGGTATAACTGAAAACATAATAGTCTGCATAAGATTGCATAAAACCAAGTTTTAACAGCACATCTGCCAACCTAAAAAACCATTTTCGACTGGCCTGCTTCAAAACATAAATGGATTTGTTTAGCTTACAAACTTTCCCTTTGTACTGTGGCAACTGGTTTAAACCTGGAGGCAACTGCATATAAATTTCTTCATCAAGGTAGCCATTCAGAAAGTCATTACTCACCTCCATTTGGTGTAAGTGCCACTGCTTTACAGCTGCCAAACCCAACAGAAGTTTGACTGAGTTTTGCTTTGCAACAGGAGAGAAAG